CACATTGACCTTACTGCTTGCTATGGGCTTTTTGCCGCTGCTGCTCGGAGCTTGTTCCAATGCGTCACTTTTCCCGTGTAGGGTTGTGCAAAAGACTGCAGCGAGTTTATGCTGTGTAGTGCCTTTTGGTCACAACTTTCCTCGGTGGTGACATTGCCTTGCACATTGACCTTGCTGTTGCTTACTGCACCGCCGTCGCTGTACTTGTTTGCCTTAGTTGAGGAGGGATCAAGTCATGACGTAGTTCAAATGAGTGATGGTTTTGATGATGATTTTTCCGTACACAGTTTATGCTCTTGTGGGCCATGAGCGTTTGTTGTCGCCTTTTACGCTCATGCGGACAAGGAGCTTTTGGTGCCGTTTGTAGTTTCAGCTCATGCAAATAAGGAGCGTTTGTTGTCGCCTTTTAGGCTCGTGCGAACGAGGAGCTTTAGTTGTTGTTGTGGATTTGTCAAGCAATCTGGGAGAGGCATTCCTTGCAATCTTCATAGGAATGAGCCTTGACCGAGTAGTTGAAGAAGTCTTCTGGGAAAAGGTCGCACATTGTGATGGGGATGGACGATCTTTATGTCAAAATTTCATTATTTCCAACACTTTCACATTGTTCTAGAGGTTGACAAGAGCTGCTTTACCCCCTTTTCGACTGATAAACTTGTGGACAAGATGGTTGCTGCTTGTCCAATTTCTTCGAAGCGATCTTGGAGAGGCGTTCCTCACAATCTTAATAGCAATGAGCCTTGACCGAGTAATTGAATAAGTCTTCAAGGAAGAAGAGATCGCGCATGAACTATCTTTGTGTTGAAATTTTCTTATCTTCAACATTTTCACATTGCTTTAGAGGTTGGCGAAAGCTGTTTTGCCTCCTTTCTGATTGGTACACTTGTGGAGAAGATGTATGCTTCTCGTGTAGTTTCTACGGAGTGACATGAGTCCATCCTTCAATTTCACTTGACTTGGAGCATGCCCCCAACCGTCGAGGTGAAGACTTTGAGTCGAAAGAGCCAAAAATGACGTCTTTCTTAGGGATTTCATCTTCAGTGTCGTCCTTTTGGTTTTGTTAGCATGAAGATTTGCCAGTGTAGATAATGATGCACCTCCTTACCTTCAGTGGTCCTTTTGTGTCGACCTCCAAGTTGCTTGGCGCTTCATCCTTGAAGGAATCGAGCTTTGAACGTCATCTTTTCCTGCTAGACCGTCGAGCTTTTCTTCCTTTGGCGTTGTCTTCTTCTTTCTAGAAGGCTTCTTGGTTTCTTCAAGTTTTTCCAAAGTTGATCATTGCGAAGGAGAGCTAGCCTTGCTGCTTTGTTTCTTAGGTTTTGACAACCTTCCAAAAACAGAGCTTTGGGGTGTTGGCGTGTTAAGCCGTTTGAACGCAGAAGCTCGGTCTTGCCCACCAATGCGATCAAGTGCCGAAATTCTGGGTTTTGAATGATTTAGCCAATCGAAGACTGACACTCGAATGGGATGTTTATGCTCCTCTTGGTTTTGTTCAATGCTCACGCTGATGTGTTGAGCGCTAGCGTTCTTCGCTTTGCTTGAAATCTTCACGGGTGCATTTGGTGTGAAGCCAAGTCTAGCTTTGTTGTTGTCAACTCCGTAATCATGCTCCTTCAACTTCTTTTGAGTCTCGTTGAGGTCACGATCTTTGTCGTTGACGGTGTTTGAAACCTTCTTTCCAAGATTTGAAAAGGAAGCAAAGTCATGCCTAGCCTTTAACATGAGTTCGTAGGTGTTTGGGTTGAAGCCTTCTTCGGTCCTCTTAGTTGGAAGAGAGCTTGGTTTCACTTTGACACCATGTTGCGCCTCTAGACGGTTGATGAGTCTGGCGATTTGCAAGTTTTTCTCCTCCGCAGTCTTTATCAGCTTTGCAATTGTTTCCTTCATCTGAACCAGCTGTTTTTCAATGGAGGAAGCATCGATGGTCGTGACTTGTTCTTTGTTGAAGTCATGGAGTGTGCTTGAATATCTTGAACGGAGACAGAGATGAGAGGTAGAGATTATCCCACCGGGCGTGCTAAATTTGTGAACACGGAAATTTCTTAAAATAAGAACACGTGTACAAAAATAATATTTGTGTTTAATGATTTTAGGGTTACGATCTCCCTCAAATTTGATTGTCTAATTCGATCTCCGTAAAATGTAGATCTGTTGATCCAAGGGTCGTCGAGGCTTAATCTTGGATGAACAGTTGGAAGTTTCTTCAAGGGCCTTCGAGGCTTTGATCTTAAAGGTTGATGGAAGTTTCTTCAAGGGCCATTGGGTTTGATCTTGAAGGTTGATGAATGAGCGGATCTTCAAGGGCTTTTGGGCTTAATCTTGAAGAACGGTTGGTTTTCTTCAAGGGTCGTCGGGGCTTGATCTTGAATGAACAGTTGGTTTTCTTCAAGGGCTTTTGGGCTTGATCTTGAAGAATAGATGTGTGGATTTGTTTGTTGATCCAAGGGTCGTCAGGGCTTGATCTTAGATGAACAGTTATTAAACGGATCTTCAAGGGCTTTCAAGGCTTAATCTTTAAGAACAGTTGTTTGTTGATCCAAGGGTCGTCGGGGCTTGATCTTGGATGAACAGATCTTCAAGGGCCTTCGAGGCTTGATCTTGGATGAATGATTGCCTCAAGGATTTGACGAAGAACAAATAGTGCTTTCTCCATTCTTCGGGATTCTTAGGAATTTGGGGGTTGGATGCTTAAGAGCTTTAGAGTTTCAAAGCTTCAAGGATTTTGAATGTGTGGGGAGTATTCTCTTCCATTTTGGTTCCATTTTGGGAGTAGAGAAATGTATTTGTGAATTGGTTGATTTTAGGATGCGTGAGACCCTGATGGATTAGCATATTTATAGGCTTTGAGAATGAATCACCACCACAAATTTTCTTGGTGAAGTCAGTGGATGAAATAGGTGAAGTGAGTGGAGGTTGTAGGTGAAGTAAGTGGATGATGTAGGTGAAATGAGTGGAGGTTTTAGGTGAAGTAAGTGAATGATATAGATGAAATGAGTGGAGGTTGTAATTTTAATGCATTGGTCAACATTTATTTTACCGAAATTTCGATGTATACACGCGGGTAATCAATTTCATCTGCTTAATAAATGCTTCTGCTAAACCATTTTTAGTATGGACATAAGGAACTTCTGGTCCTTATTTAATAGTCTGTGGACTAAGATTCTTATGGCTTTTATTACAATTAAGTTGAGGCTGCTGCACTTCAAACTTATGCTACTCATCAAGAAACTTCATGTCCTGATCTTAAGGATCAAGGGACTTCATGCCCGATCTTTTTGTATAATGGAACTTCGGGTCTAATCATTTTATATGATGACGTTCAAGAAACTGCAAATTCTGATCTGACCAAGGAATTTCAGATCCTATATATACTCATCATAACAAAAGAAGTACAATAAATAAATTAAAGCAATAGGTGGTAATTTCAGCCATAGTAAATAAATTGCACATAAGTAAATAAAGTTTGTGACAAGAACTTTAATTCAGCATCATTCACATAAATCCAAACTTAAAGCAGTAAGTAGTAAAACCGTCCAAGATAAATAAATTCTTTAAAATAAATAGAACTTGTGAAATGATTTTAAGCCAACATCATTCACAGAAATAAAATGTATCATACCCTTTTTTTTCAATTTTATGTCGGAACCCTTTCAAACCTTTTCTTCCTTTTTATTTATTATTTCCGTGGTGCATCAAGCTGATGCACCATGTTCCCTCTTCTTCTTTTTTTTTTTTTTTTTTTATTATTTATTTTCTTTGTTATATTTTCAAAAGTCCCATTGCTTTTGCCTTATCCTCCAGCTCCTTCACATAATACTTCTTCCTTTGCTTAGAAAGCTGAGTACTTTCTCTGTTTCTCATCAGTCTAGCCTTCCTTGTTCAGTGGTGTCCTCAAAGGACATATCAGCCGCAAAAGGAGCAACAGCAGCTACACCGCCCAACCTGCTCATGCTCAGAACCTTCACTTGGAGCTTGGTTCATTGCTGCCCCTGCACCTCCGTAGTTCTGTGCTTACAACTGACCTCCCTGAGGGTGGTGAAAATTTGGAGAGTAAGAATTAGTAGCTCCATGCAGTGATGCATCGAAGCCATTGAACAGAAGAAGCCCCATGGCCTCCCACTTGATTGGGGATTTGAAAAAGGAGCCGTCGTAGGTGGCGGAGGAAGTTGTGTTTTCCACTGACACGAGCTTCTCATGCTGATAACGCGTTGTAAAATCGACAGTAGGTGCAGTGGAATAAATAAACAAGGCACAAAATTTACGAGGTTTTTCTACGTTCAGTGTGACTGAATTACGTCCTCAGACCAGCAATTGTGCTTTCATTATAATTTAGAATAATAGAAGTACAAAAATAATTCTCTCTATTCTCTCTATTCTCTCCTCTCTTCTCTTCTCTTTCTTTCTCCTCCTTCATATCTTTGTTGTGAGTCTATCTACTTTGGTGTTGTGTGGGGTTTGTATTTATATAGAAAAAAGAAGTCGTAGGAAGCAAGCGCAGAGAGTAGAAGAGCAACTTGTCCATTATTTAATTATTTAAGTAAACATCCAGTGTTGTACAACAAGCAAATATTTAGTAAAGGGTTAGACGATGGGAGTGAATTAATAAAATCTCCAGACTGACGTTACATTACGATCCCCACTTTCCACGTATTACTTAGCTACGTATGCGAATATTCCACGTCGGCTCAATTATGCGCCGATAAAATTTAAACAAAAATAAACACAATAAATAAATAATGTGCAATCGTGACGGGCTGATTGCTTGGCTGGTTCCTATTTTTGGTGTCAATTCTCAAAAATACCCATACTCCTTCCCCTAATTATCGTTTCGCCCTTCTAAATCCACTGGATATCCAACTTGAATGGAGGGGTATTTGGATATGTTTGTCCTCTTCCCTTCCTCTCACGAAGATGATATTCCACGTGTCAGCCTGCCAACCCATCTTCCTTCGACTACAACGCCCACCCAATTTTTCCCGCTTGTTTAAATAATAAAAAAAAGTAAAAAAAAATCAGAAAAAAAAATGTTTGTATGAGAAAAAAGCGTCTGGTTATCCTCTCAATCGTCAGGGAGAGAGTGAAAACGACCGAGAAGCAGCGAGGCACACAGAGAGAGCCCCAAAACGGCGTCGCATGGAATCGTCTCTCGCAGTCACTGCCTCTAAGCCATCTGGTCGTTCGACTCTCTGAATTCCGAAATGGAGTGAGAGTTTCGTTGAACCTGCAACTGTTGATTCACTGAGATTATAGCTTGCTTTTGGTTGGGGATACATTCAATGGCGATCGGCGGTTTGATATCGAACCGGAATTTCGGTTCTTTTGTCGGTTCAGGTTAGTAGCTTCATTACCTTGTTCTAAATTATTATTTTTAAAATTTTCCAGTATTATTAATTTTGGTTGCATTTTGTGAATTCTTGCTTGTTTGTAGTGGAATTATTGCATGCATGTGGTTAAATTTGATTGCTGTATTTTTTTAATTTTCCAATTTTATGAGTTTAACAGTTTAATCTAGTTGCATGTTGCTTTTTCTGCTTTACATTTTCTGTGGATAATTTGGATATGTTGATAGATTTTTAATAGAAAATGGTTGAATTTACTGCTTAATTGTCCTATGAATGTAATAATTTAACTGAAATCTGCTATTAAATTCAACAATTCAATACAATCCGCGGGAATTTTCGGTGCATGTAAACTTTTTCCTAATAAACTTAGATGGGTTTCTTGTTTTTAAACAGACATGTATGTATGTATGTATGTATGTATAAATATATGTACTGAGAAAATTTGGGACTACTTCTATCTTTCTGAGTTCATCAAGGACTTACTAAATTTGGCTTAAAAATAATTTAGACAATTTTTATACCAGGCTAGAAGTAGATAATGGGACAATTTCGGATTGCTTATACTGTCAACATTTTGATGCTTCGGAGGCGATTACATTGTTACTTTATGACTCTTTGATATTGGCAGGGAAGGCATGTCAAACGAACCACGCCATTGTGCATCACAAGGGAAAGCGTCTGTATTATCAGGGGAAAACAATTTACCCAACTTTACGTACTTCGAGGGCTAGTGGTTCTATATCTGGATACTCGTACAGCCCTTATCCGCGTGCAATTGGCTCTTCAGATACAAACATTCTGAAGGCAACATGTAGGGTGCGTGATGAAGGCGAAAACCCTCATCTCATCTTTCTGCAATCTGCTATAAGGTCTCAGAACATCATTACTAAACAAATACTTATAGGAAATCGTAAAAGGTATCTTTCTTCAAATCACTTTTTTAGAAGTTGTTTACAATCAAGAAAGTTGGATAAGCTTGATTACAGGAAATATCATAAGTATAAACATGCTAAGGTTAACAGGACCTATGCTTATTACAAGTCAGAGGATAATGACATAACAGAATCAGAGGTAGACTCGCTCACATCAATAGAGGGGTCAAGTGAAGCTGTTTTGGCAGGTGGAAATGTGCGTAAATTATCTTCTTGGTGGGAGATTCCTAGGCGCTGGGTGATTGTACTCCTTTGTTTTACAGCATTCCTATTGTGCAACATGGATCGTGTGAGTATTTTTCCGTTTTTCATCATAGGGCATATATGTTGATTGAAAGGTTCAAGATATATATACACAATGATACATACATACATACATACATATATATATATATATATATATATATATTTATATATAGCCTCTTTCCTCACAACAGATACTCTTGTATAATTAGTGTAAAGGTGTCTTACGCTACCAAGCCAATTTCTTTCGAAATTAAATTATTTTCCTATGTGGCAGTAACCTTGATGTTACATCATCATTAAACATAAGCATTGCAAAACTCAAAAATCTGTTTTTAAGGTGTTGGTTTTTTAATGTGATACATCTCAATCAGCTAACAATGTTAAAATTTTATATTGTAGGTAAACATGAGCATTGCAATACTTCCCATGTCACATGAATTCAACTGGAATAATGCCACAGTCGGCTTGATTCAGTCCTCTTTTTTCTGGGGTTACCTACTTACTCAGGTTTGACTTAGTATACTAACATGTGTGCATTACTCAAAGATAAATTACACCTTAATTCTCAATCTCCTCTGAGAACATTAGCGGGCATCTAATCATGATTGTATTCTTAAATGGTTTAGGGATACTGTTTTATTACGAATAGTTGGCTCTGCATATATTTTGTGTTCAAGATACATATATGAACATGCATATATCTCTATTTCCCATCCAGATGTGCTTAGATTTCTACTCAGTTCTCCTGTATGATCGTATTCACTATGATTGCTCTTGTAAATAGATTCTTGGAGGCATTTTGGCAGATAAAATTGGTGGAAAGCGTGTATTGGGTTTTGGAGTGATCTGGTGGTCAGTAGCGACAATTTTGACGCCTATTGCAGCAAAAATCAGTCTTCCATTTTTGCTTATCATGCGTGCTTTCATGGGGATTGGTGAGGTCCGTCTTTTCTAGTGCTTTGCTTCGGATCTCTAGTCCTTTCCGACTTCAACTCTGCATTGTAATATTAATTGAAAGTTTTACCTTTTCGTTTAGGAATTGGCTTGGAATGTATTATTCAGTTAAGAAACAAGACAGGAGTAAAATAAATAACCTAAAACGATTACCACTTAAAACTTGAAAACTTGTATTTGTGTGACAGGTTAATTTCAACGCCAATTGTATCATTTCACTTTGGTAGTTTAGCACGCAGAACTTTTCCTTCAGTTTTTATGTATAATTATTTAAATTTTCTCATTTGAGTTATTGTATCTCAGCTTCCTTCTTGAAATAGGATTTTTTTTCTCTTGGTAATTCAAGCAAGGGTTTTCATTGCTGAACAAATTTTCCTTTTTCCTTGTTTGTTCACAGGGTGTCGCTATGCCTGCTATGAATAACATACTCTCTAAATGGATTCCAGTGTCTGAGAGAAGCAGAGCACTTTCACTAGTATATACTGGCATGTACCTTGGTTCTGTCATTGGGTTGGCTGTCTCTCCGATTCTAATCCAGAAGTTTAAATGGCCGTCTGTGTTTTACTCGTTTGGCTCTCTTGGATGTATCTGGTTAGCATTATGGCTGAATAAAGTAAGATCTTGCTTCCTTGAACATTTGAGATACTTGAATTACCTTGTCTACTCTTGATTAGGATAGACTATATTGAGCATAGATAAATAAATGTTATCATATCTCCAGGCTGTTAATATGTTCTTGTTTGAGCTGTGCAATATCCAGTAATTTTTCCCCTTTCATTTCCGGGATTGTGTGAATTAACTGCTACCAAGTACTGAGTCTAAATTTTAAAAGTAAAAGTGTACAGAATTATTATCACTTGTCTTTTGAAATATAAAATCATATACACTAATTGTTTCTCATGCCCATTTGTCGTACGTAACTGGTGATCTTCTCCTGACACCATGAAAATGTATGAATGAACTGCCATGAACGGCAGTTCAGATGTTGTTCCATTAAAGTTAACTCTAGAACATCTTCTTTATTGTTGTATCACTAGGCATATAGCACACCAAAAGAAGATCCGGAGCTTACCACAGAGGAAAAAGAGCTTATCATGGGTGGAAACATATCTAAGGAACCTGTTAAGGTCATTCCTTGGAAGCTAATATTATCAAAACCACCTGTTTGGGCTCTTATAGTCTGCCACTTTTGCCACAATTGGGGAACATTTATTCTATTGACATGGATGCCAACATACTACAATCAGGTACGGAATTGATTCCTCCAAAATTGAGCATACAGGCACTCATATGTATAGGAGAAGATATGCAATCTTTAGATGTAGAAACTAAAAGTAATGTCTCACGCAAAACCTAATCGCATGCAAAATCCACAATTTTGACCCAAAACAGAAGCAGATTTGATGTTAATCCTATCAATAAATTGTTGAGTCACTAAAATCTTTTTACATTGTCTTGCATCTTCAGGTTTTGAAATTCAACCTCACTGAATCCGGGCTCCTCTGTGTCTTGCCATGGTTGACAATGGCTATTTTTGCAAATATAGGAGGCTGGATTGCAGATACACTTGTCAGCAAAGGGTTTTCTGTAACGACAGTTCGTAAGGTAAGGACTAAAATAATTCTTGAATTATTAAATGTGTGGTCAGGTGCCGACTTTCCTGTTTTGCGTTTCTTAAGATTTCTACAAATCCGTTTTCTGTTGACAGATCATGCAATCAATTGGGTTTCTGGGACCAGCCTTTTTCCTTACGCTGCTGAGCCGTGTCAAGACACCCGCAATGGCAGTGCTATGCATGGCATGCAGTCAGGTAAAAACTAGTTGTTATCAATTCAACCGAGCTTGAATGTGTTGTTTGGTAAGTATTAGTCCTACGATTATCTGTTCACACGTTCTTTCTTATTGACAGGGATCTGATGCATTTTCACAATCGGGTCTCTACTCCAACCACCAAGACATTGGACCTCGCTATGCTGTGAGTTGCTATCTTACGAAGTTATAAACCTATGGCTACTTGACGACATTTTTCCACTTCGGAGTTTTGTGGGGAGCAATATTTCATTATCAATTTTTAGTCTATTAATTTAACAAGGTTATTTGTGCTTTGAATCCCTTACCGAAGAACTAAACAAGTAATCAAATTGTCTGAATCCTGTGCAATCAAACTTATAAATACAATTACAGGGAGTATTGCTGGGACTCTCAAACACAGCAGGAGTTCTTGCTGGTGTCTTTGGTACAGCTGCAACCGGCTACATACTCCAACGAGGTACAGTCAAATGCTTTACTTAATTCAACCTCTCCTGAATTCGCTTTTTGCGCTCAAGTTCCGGTTTCCAGTTTAGTATTGACTTGTTGTGCTTCGATTCTGCAGGTTCTTGGGATGATGTATTCAAGGTCTCTGTTGTATTGTACATCATGGGCACATTAATCTGGAACTTATTTTCTACCGGAGAGAAAATTATTGACTAGAGAAACGCAAGAAGAGAAGGAACGGAATTATGACAAGATGGAAGAAACGCAAACACATGAAGGGAAATCTGGCTAAGCGAAGTAGCTTTTAAATTGGTTTTGTAACAACATATGAGCCTTTTGCTTTGCCCATACAATGCTAATTGTTTCGTATAGCTGTTAATTTCTTTCCTAATAATAGTTCACAGATTAATCAGAAGAAGAAGAAGCATATGTATTCTATTTCAAGTTGATGGAATATAAGAACCAGCTACATCTGTCTTTCTGACTACCAACATTATCGCTCGCTCAAGTGGTTAGAATCACAAGAGTTTACATCAACGGTTGATTCATTATGTATAATAAAGTTGCAATAATATCAAATCATTGATCATATACAATTTTTCTTAACAAAGCAATATACTCTAAGCTTTCAAACTTAAGTGCAAGAGAGCGAAACGAGATGTCTTGCAAATGAATAGTAATAAATGTTGATAAAAGTAATTTATGAAATCTGAACAAACAAGAACGTAAAGAATATTAAATGTAAATAAAAATTTGCAAAGCTTTTTGCTTACAAGGGAAAGCTAGATGCTCTCTCTCATGATTGGACCCGTGCCTTCTTGTGCTGTTGTTGTGGCCCAACAATATAATTGCAAACACTTAATTGAAACCACAATGGGCTTTGCTTACCAAATTCCCATTATACCCCTGAGTCCTCTCCCATTTCCCATGGGTTCCACCACCCCAAAAATTGAACACCCTCTTAGGCCACCCCAACCACAGCTCCACCGCCACCGACGCCGTTACATTTAACGGCCACACTCTTGCTCTTCCCCTTGCAATTGTCCCTCCATTGCCACCTCCTTTTCAATGCTTGACACAATTGCCTCCAGCTCCCTTTTGTGCACATTCACCATGAGTCCATACTTCATGAACAACGTCAACGACATCTTTTGCTCCACCTTGTGGCCCGGCACCACCGTGAGACGGTGGCGGAGCAAAACCGACGCGGTTACCGACTTCATTTGCAAGTAAGCCAAGTCCTTCCCTAGACATATTCTTGGACCCGCGTTGAATGCTACAAATTTATTTGAGTCATGCATTATGAACTTACCATCGGGAGATAGCCACCTCTCCGGACGAAACTCCAGGCAATCGTCTCCCCACGTCGATTTCATCCGCCCCGTTGCGTATATGGAATATGTCACCGACGATCCGGCAGGCACGAATGTGCCGTCGGGCAAAACGTCGTCGTACACCACATGCTTTGAGTCCTCCGGTACGGAAGGGTACAACCTTAGGCTCTCGGACAATGCTGCCTTAAGGTATATCAATCGGTCAATTTCCTCAAATTCTAACGGCTCGTCCAACCAACTCGCCACGACATTGCCACGTGTCTCAATCAGAACAGTGCAAATTTCACGGAGGATTTTCTCTTCAATTACTGGGTTAAGAGTGATCAACCAAAAGAACCAGCTCAACGCGGCAGATGACGTGTCGCGTCCAGCTAGGATGAAATTGAGCGCCACGTGTTGGAGAAAAGTGTCCGAGTAGTTCTCTTTTTTCTTCATGAACCGTGACAACAAATCATCGTGTGGGTTCCCATCTTTCTGCTGACTCAGCAACTCGAGCTTACGGGATGCAATCACGTCGGATAAATACTCCTCAATATGCACAAGGCTTCGGCTCAATGTGACTTCCATTCCAAGCCCAAGCCATTTTTTCACCTTCCACAACACCTCGGGCAGAATAAACCGCTGCAGCGAGGCTTCGGTGGCTCGGTCGAAGGCTGTGGCAAAGCCGTTGTCGGGAAGACCCGGGGCGCACGTCTGCGGGTCCTTTCCAAACGCCAAGCCGCATATGTTATCGAAAGTAAGCCGAAGTAACAAGTCTTGGAGATCAACCGGCTCGGCTTGAAGCTCAGCCGACTTGAGAATTGGGCAGAACCTGAGCTTGATGGCTCGGCTGACCCACCGAGCCATGGCCTGGCGCAGCGTCCGGGTCGTGAATTCCAGTGCGGCCGTCTTCCTCTGAAACAGCCACGTGTCGCCATCCGAGTTGAAGATGCCCTCGCCCAACAGCTCGTGAAACACGGATTGCCAGGTGGGACCCTTGGGATAGTTGTCGAACCGGGTCTTGAGTATGTGCTCCAGATTATTCGGGTCGCATGTGACGGTCACGAGGCCTTGCTTTTTGGCGAGGAAGGGGATGGCGCAGATGCAGGTTTGGTACGTGCCGCCGCAGGCGCGTAGGTTGTCACAGATCCAGTCGTGCAACCGGTCCGAGTTTTCGATGAGACCCGGGAGACTACCCAGTAACGGCCAGACACGTGGACCCTTTAGCGACCGTGAGATGAAGGTGAACCAAAGGAGGTAAGCCGTGATCGCCGTCAAAACCAGCAATGCCGTCCCAATCTCCATATTCTACTTGTCCGCCACGTAATGGTAAACCAAACCCAAAAACTCAAAAAACGGCGATGCAAAACCCGCACTCAATCACTGAACCAGAACCAGAACCTGTTTTCCTCCAAAATATTTTCCCGAGAAAATGTTGTTTTCCGGGAAAGTTGCTTTATTGGTGTGAGTTATTGTGAAGAAGTGGAAGAAGCTACTGCAAAACGTACCTTAGAGAAAAACCCAGGTAGGGAGTTTCATGAATGTTTGAGAGATTTGATTGAGAAAAGGAAGGGACTTTGAAACTTGACCGATCTAAACAAAAAATGGGTAGAGAAGAATAATAATATTGATGATTGATGAAGATTATAAGGTGGCGGTTTGGTGTTGGAGTAAGGAAGAAGCAGGAGAGGAAGCAGAAGATATGGAAGTGGAGGTGTGTGATGTGTGGTAGTACAAAATGGAGTATTATAGAGAGATTTATAGGTGAGCAATTTATTGAGGCCAGACTGGTCCTTGACATTGCTCTTTCTCTCTCTCACTGTATTTTTCTCTCACTAAAAATTAAGCTGCACAGCACAGCACAGCACAGCACAGGCGCCATAAATTTCTTCAGAAGTCGTTGAACTTTTTAAAGCTCTCTCGCTCAAAACCTTTCTTCTCTCTCTAGAAAACCAGTGCTCTAGCAAATTACGATGCCATTCTCTCTCTCTCTCTCTCTCTCTCTCTCTCTCTCTCTCTCTCATGCACACACAAGGAAACACACACACACTTACACAACTACTTTTACTGGAAATGGAAGAGGAGATTTAATTCAAGAGCATTGAATGAAGAGGAAAATTTAATGGGATTAGTTGAGGAACTCTATACATGAGAGAGAGAGAGAGAGAGAGAGAGAGAGACCAAAGAACAAAACCAAACAATGATAAATAGGTCATCCATTCCACACGACACAACTATTGTAAAGTCCAATCGGATCAATAGTGGGTCGTCACCCTAGCTTGGCCCTTTTTTCTTGTAAGTTATGTTCTTTCATTGGAGCTTTATTTTAATCCAATCTAATTTAAAGGGTGTACCTTTATTATTATGTAACATTCAGTATTACAGGTGATTTGATCGTTAAATTTAAAGTTCTCAATTGTTATATATATATATATATTTTTTAATATCAACCATTCATTTTTTGTACCACTCAGTGCTACGTGTCATTGAAGAAAAATTGTTAAACAAAAAGAGAATTCGAACTCATGTGCAAAAAGAAGAGCACACTGATCTACAATTTGACTACACTCACATATACACATGGTGTTTTAAATTTTAGGGTAAAGTACAAAAAACTACCTTAATTATTGGTGTCACGATACTTTCATACCTCATCTTTTAAAATTGACAATGTCATACCTCATCTTACGAATTTGTGTCAATGTTATACCTTCCGTTAGCTTGGCATGAATTTCTCAGTTAAATGCTGACGTGGCTTGATTCAGGGTCTACTTTCTATTAAAAAAAATTAATAAAATATTATTAAAAACAAAAAAAAATCATTTAATATTTTTTAAATATTAAAATAATAAAGAAAAGTAAAAATAAAATAAAATAAAATAAAACAAAACAAAACATTTCATTCCTTTCCCTCCCTCCCCCGTGTACCTGCTGCAAGCTTGCAACCCAGAAAACAAAGGAAGAAAAAATAAAATAAAATAACTTCATCCCTTCCCACCCGAGCCCCTACCTGCAACCTAGAAAAAACAAAAAAAAATCTCAGTTCGTCTTCCCCTCGCATCCACCCTCTGCACCCACCCCTCACGAAATCGGCCTAGCGAACGGGATCTGGGTTTTTTTTTCTTGTTCTTCTTGTTCCTCCTCCTTCTTTTTCTTTTTGGGTTGCAGAGGGTTGGATTTGTTTTTTTTTTTTTGGGGGGGGGGGGGGGGAGACGAACGAACTGGGTTGGGGCTTTTTTTTTTTTTCTTCTTCTTCTTCTCCTCCTTTGGGGGGGGGGGGACGAACGAACTGGGTTGGGGCTTTTTTTTCTTTCTTCTTCTTCTTCTCCTCCTTCCTTCTTCTTATTCTTCTTCTTCTTTTTCCTCCTTCAAGATGGGGAGAGAGAGAGAAGGGAGGAGAGAGGTGGATGGGATGAAAGGTTTTGATTTTTTTTTTTTTTTAACTTTTCTTTATTATTTTAATATTTAAAAATATTAAATGATTTTTTTTTAGTTTTTTTTAATATTTTATTAATTTTTTAATAGAAAGTGGGGTCTGGATCAAGCCACGTCAGCATTTAATTGACAAATTAACGACAAGCTTACGGAAGGTATAACATTGACACAAATTCGTAAGATGAAGTATGACATTGTCAATTTTAAAATATGAGGTATGAAAGTGTCGTGACACCAATAGTTGAGATAGTTTTTTGTACTTTACCCTAAATTTTAATTGGGTCAATATTTAGGGAAAAGCATCCTCCTAGGAATCCTTAGAATCCCGTGATCATGATCGTTCATCATACATCGTGCAGTCAATTTTCGTTAGGTACTATTTAAAATTTATATAAATTTTAAATTTTGAAATAATTTATGATCGCACGATGTACAATGAACAGTCATGATCGCAGAATCCCTAGGATCCCCAGGAAAAAGATCTGACAAGGAACCTTTTCCAATATTTAGTAGGTTGAAAATGAGTCACCCTAGCTTAGAGAAATCTCGTGCGCAACAAAACCAAGAACATATCCCTACATAAGCATTTCTATTCTCACGTGACATATACTTATACGTCGGATTGCAACTAAAAATTCTTCTAACTTAGTATTACGGTTTAGTGATATTCTTCTTCACTTATAAGTGAGAGGTCTTAGGTTTGATTCTCGTCAAATGCAAATTTGAACCACATTATTGC